ATTAAATTTTAAATTTTTATATAATAAAATAAATTTTTTATAACATAATATTTTATTTCTTGATTATTTCAACTAAATTACAATATAAACAATTTTGAAGTATTTGTTATAAAATAAAATTTTATTTAAATTAAAAATATTAATTTTTTTAAAACTTTATTATAAGCAAGAAGTAAATCATAATTATATATTAATATATATAAATTTTGTTTTAAATAGAAGTTGTAAAATTTTTTAATTGAAGTTAAAGAATTGATTAAAATAGTAATTAAATTTTCTTTACTTAAAATAGAAGGCATTTTTATTAAATATTTTAAAGGTATTTAAAGAAATTTTTAGTTATTTAAATAATTTTTATTATTAATTAAATCTTAATTTAGAATTATATATTTAGTAATTTCAAATTGAGTCTATATAAAAATTAATTTGATATTTTTAATCAAGTATTTTTTAATTAAGTATAAAATAATAATATAAAAAAATATCCTAAAAAAATAAAAATAAAATTAAGAAAAATCTATAATATATATTTTTTTTTCTTTTTTATTTTCTATTTAAATAAAATTTTGTTTATATTTAGTTAATAAATTTTCTAATTAATTTTGTTCTTGTAAATGTTTAAATATTTTTTGATATTTAGAGTACTCTTTAAGATATTGTTTTATATACTTAGAAAAATTTCTCTTCCAATAAATATTGTTATTATCAATAATATATTCTTTATCAAGTTCTTCATTTGTTTTCTTTTCTTTTTCAATTGTTGCTTCTAATCTGTTTTTATCGACTCGATATTTAATATTCTACTTTATATTTCAAAATTTATATTTATTACCTTTATAGAATATGATATTTGTTGTTCTTTTAAAGATTTAATCAGACTATTTTTCTGTAAATTTAATAAAATAATCAAGTCATTATTCAAATTGTCTATAATTCTGCTAATTTATTTTTTTACTATTTTGTCTAAAATTAAAAGCTTGAGCAGGTGGTCTATTTGCTGTTAAAAAAATATATTTTGCCAAAACTATTCAAAACTTTTACTTTTAATTTTAACTTTTTCAGGTGTATTATTTAGATAATTAACAATGTCTAACTAATTTATTTTTGTATAAAATTTATTAAATAAAACAATTTCTTGACTGTTATATCTATTAAATCAATTATTTTTTAGATTTAGAATATAATTCATCATCAAATAAAGCTTGTATTAAATCTGATTTGCCTGAGCCACCTGGGCCAAAAAATAAAATAAAATGATTATCTAACAGTGTTTTTCTTTTGCTTTTTTTTTAAGTTGCTTTTGATCATATAAATTTTTTTATATGAAAAAAAATAACTCGAATGAATTAAATTTGGATTTTGAATTAATGTATTATATAATATATTATCTCTAATATTTTTTTGTTTTCTAATATTTTCTAATTTACTGTTATTAATAATATCAATTGTTTTATCAGAACTACCTAACAATAATTTGCATTTACCAAAATCAAAAGATCCTAAACCATTTTTATCTAATAATTCATTTTTGTATTATTGATAACATTTATTTATTTATTTTTTTTAACGTCTACCCTCTTGGGAGCTGGGATTTTTATTCAAGTATATATAGCAAGGAGTTCTCTAGGGA